GCAGTCCTGCAGAGTTCAGCTCCAACCCTAATCAGACACACCTGAACAAGCTAATCAATGTCTTCAGGATTACTAAGGCTATAGGCAGGTGAGTTTTGTTTTCAGGGTTGGAGCTGAACTCTGCAGGACTGCGGCTCTCTAGGACCGAACTTGCCTACCCCTGTTCTAAGGTGAGCAATTATTTTCCAGTAAACCTATACTATTAAGTAGTTCCAGGTCTGTTGACAGCAATATTTATTTATTATTATTATTAATAATAATTTTACATTTCTTAGTAGATTTATGCATTTATTATTTATATTTCTTTGTATATTTAATTTATGCATTTCATTATTATTGTGGGAGTTTTGACATTCCATATTTGTGTGTGCGTTGTTTGTCAGCAAGCAGAATGTGTCTGTCTCTAGCACACACTTAAATGGCATCACTCACTTCACCAAAATATTGCAGTTATTTCAAAGGTCCTTACAGCCTACAGTACAACAGTAAATGAACAAAAATTCACAAATACACTAAGCAAACAAATACGAATTATTTACATTTTAAATCGTCATGCCTTGACAATGGCCTGCTGTCAAAATTTTAACTCAAAATTCAGAATCTTAAGATAATCATGATGCATCAGAGAATTGATTGTGTAAGGAATAATTGACGACTATTTTTCATTACGATTTAAATCCTACGTGGCGCCTCATAGATATGGAATTGTAATTCTACTTATATTTGCTTTATGTATAGTTGCATTTTTTCCCCAAATGTATTTATTTTCATTCATACATTTCTTTGTCCATGTGGTAATGAGGGGGTGTGTTTTATTTCAAACATCGAGCTCAGAGTTCTAGCTTAGGCAAGGAAGAAACTTTGAGGCCTTTGAGTAGGGCAAATCAATGAACGAATGGCTTAGAAATGGTAGATATGGCCAAAATCTTATATCATTGGATAAGTTATTTAATGTCATTGTAACAGTATGTACAGTTTATAGGGTGAACATACATACTCTTTTTTTTCCTGGACATGGCAGAATTTGGCTGAATATGAACATACCGCAACTTCAATAGATCTGATGAATATTTGACACTGAAGAATGTGCAAATGAAATCATCCAGTATTAAAATCAGGAAAAAAACAACACAAACAAAATATACAGGCAATTTATTATAACCAATACCCTATGCAGTTTAAATGGGCATGACTCTTCTGTGTAGCTTATAAAATACATATGATTGGTTTGAAATAGACACACTCTTTATTAATCTTTCAGTATCCTCAGTATCTTGGAAATACAAGTTTTATTTTAAGCATTTGATTTGTCACCTGTTATTCATGCAAAATTAGGCAACTTTAATGTATGCTGAATGTGCAGTCGAGTTTCAAGCACATTGACCAATATAGATAAGATATATCTAATATGTTTACATATCAATATGCACTGAACATTTTTTTTCATTCATCCAGTTAAAAAAAAGTGCATAGACTGCAGCAGTGTGGGGGAGTAACTAGTTACATGTAACGGAATTACGTAATTTAATTAGAAAATAAAAGTAATTGTAATCAGTTACAGTTACTAAGAAAAAATGTGTAATTAAATTACATTTACTTATGAAAATGTTAAGGATTACAAAGGAGTTACATCTGATTTTTTCACATACACTCCCACATACAGATTTAATTGAGTTCTTTCATAAATTGCAGTGACTGCTCTAAATTATGAAACACCAATGTTTCAAAAGTTTATAACATGCTTATCCGATAGGGTTTATGTATATGCTTTATTTTTTTTAAGATCAACTGTTTTTTTCTAAGGCATTGTTAGATTCCAGTGTTTCCTGTCTATGCAAAGATTTGATTTCAAAAACAGTATCATAGCTATTAAACTATTTCTTGTTATGATTTTAAATATGTATTTAACCTCAGAATGATTTTAAAGTAAGTCTGGTTTTGTGGTGGCTGTGCTTCAACGGGGACATCGGATGCCCATTTTCCACAAGTTGGTATGATTCTTTAGGGTATTCTTGAAATGGTCGTGTAAAACAACACCCTTTTTACCTTGTCAAAAACATAGCGACCCATTTCGGTGCCTATCTCTTTACATGCTAATGAGTTCTGCTCACCCCGCCCCTCTCTTTTGTGGAAGCGCAAACGCGATTAGCAAATAATCTTAAAAAATTTAAATTGTGTTGGCACCGATAGCCTTGTGGGCAGCATGCTGACATACAGCACCATTGGACTTCGGGTGTCTCGTGTTCAAATCGGACCTTTCCCAATCCCAAAGAACGTATACTAACAAGAAGAGAAAGCCAATAGACGTTCCATTGCAACAGCAGCGCCCAGCAGCGGCCTACTTCCGCCATTCTGGAGTGAAAGCGACTTGGCAGTCCACTAGCTTCTTACTGTCGCTATGGCAAATATCAGTTGCTTTGTTTAAAAAAACGTACATTAAAAGCTGAAATACATAGCAAGCACTTTGAGTGTCTTGTTCATCATATTTATTTTCATATAAAAGCAACAGAACTCAAATAATATCATGTTTATTAGCAACACAGCATAAGTGAGAATAACGCGATATCTGCTTTTGATCTCGTTGGTATCTGTTCCACTTCGAGAGGGCAGAACTGTCCATCTTGACTGCGCTTATTTCACTCCTCCCCTCACTGCAGCCGCCTACTCTCGCCTTCATTTCAGGCGAGGCGAGGCGCATCTCAAACAAGCCTATTAATATGCGGGAGACTCCCGGAGCTTCCGGGAGAGGTGGGATGTCTGCATCACTATAAATTAAAAGCAGTCGTCCATGTTCTGACTTGGTAAAAAGACACGTTACATTCAGTGTTGCCAACTAGCTTTCAGGGGAAGTTGCTAAAGGAAGGTCAATTTTTTGCTAAAAGTTGCTAAATGACATTGTGATGTCATTGCACGATGACATCATTACGTAATTACGAGCAAAATTGTCACTACCTCAAAATATTTTATATATGTTAATTTAGATTTGTTCATAAAATAATATAAAGTAATATAACATTAAAATATAAATAGCTGTATTTTTCAATACAACATTGAATTATTGAACACTTACACATTTTTGAACAATTGAGGCCTACAATTTAAGTTTTTTATTAGCTAGTAAACTAAAACTACACATTCTGAACAATTAT